CAAAATTTGAATAACATCCCTTACACTAAAACCAAAAACGTGCTCACAAAATATAAAAGATTAAACTATGTAAAGGAGAAACTTGAAAGTAAAAACTACGAATGTGACTATGGAGTCTTTAGGCGTCCCCTTCGTCGTCCTCCTGCGGAACCGGCTCGGGAACGATGTCCTCTTGATCTGAAATGATTAAATAAGGAATGAGCTACACTATCCCAGTAAAGACATCACGATATCTCACTGTCACGGAGGTAAAGGTGGGTAGAAAACACAAAAAGACCAATGAAGCATAATTTACAACAAATCCTTTTATTAATAATAAAACCTTTACCATTCACTTACCTCGATGAAATTCATAAAACAATATACGAAAGCAATAACATCATCATCATCATGAAAACATATATATGAACTGTATAACATAATACCTATCAAACTTTTCGTAATTCAATCGTTACACAATATATTTTCCTAATTCACCAGCCCATTAGTATCCATGGGGATCCATAGGGGTCCCACTACCCGTTAATCCTTAACACTTGAAATCCATTCCAGGGCCGTCCCCATACCCCGTCCGGTATGGGCGCCAAACTATAGACCTCATTACCCCATCCGGTATGAGGGTGAAACGGGCCGTCCCCATACCCCGTCCGGTATGGGCGCCAAAACACATAAGATCTCCATACCCCGTCCAGTATGGGAGACCACAATCCCGGTAGGGTTCCCTACGGACCCGGTCCGTCCACCATCTCCCAGGATATCTAGTCAGGCTGACCACAGTATACAATTTCCATTTACATAATCTTTCATTCTCCTTTTCCCTCAGTCAGCATTATCAATCACATACAAACAAGCAAAACGATAATTTATGCCAAACAGACAACATACAGCATCAATATCCTGATCATTCAATCCATAATCAATAAAACAGTAGAATATGCACACGAAACTATAAAATGAAAACATCAAATCTCATACTGCATTTAAAACTGTAAACATGCCAAATAACAGTTAACCGACAAACACACTAGACTCGGGCTCCATTAGCGACCTTAAGCAATTTCACACATTCGTTGATTCATGAAATACCGTTTTATCATTTATTGAACTTTAAGACCCTGATAAGAAATAGGGTGAGGGGTCCTTACTCGTTTCGGGGTCCGAACACGGCTTCACGGTGCGCTTGCAGGCTGTCCCTAATTTTTCCTGAATTTTTCTCGGGGAACTGAAACGCACTACTGGTACCTGCACGTGTTCCAAAAAAATCCCAAATTAGGCCCAGGGCCCCTTTCGGCCAATATCGCAACTCTGGCACGGCGGCTCCGCCGTGCTCCGGCGACAGCGCCGCCGCTTGCGGCGGCGGTTCGCCTCGAGTTGGCTGTTTTCGGCCGAATTCGGCCACACTCGCATTGGTTCCTGCGATAAAACAACCCTACGGCCCTCGGGGGACCGAAAATTTACGGAAAACCGAAGCTTACCGGCGGCGGTGCTCTCGGGTGCGGCGGCTCTCCGGTGAAGTTCGTGTTTTGGTGATTCGGCTCCGATCAACCTGTAAAGAAAAGAATGGTGATCACGGTGATATAAAAATTGCATTAAACGGAGGCCGGGAAGGGCCTCATCGGAGGCAAAAACCGAGAAGAGGCGCGGCAGCGCCGCTGGATTAACTCACTACTTTGGAAAATATTAAATAATATCTATATGTGTAAGTATATATATATATAACTGGCATTTATTTGATTATTTAATTTTTAATTTAATTTTTTTTTTCTTCAATTTCAGTATATATATATATAACTGGCATTTATTTGATTATTTAATTTTTAATTTAATTTTTTTTTTCTTCAATTTCCCCGACGCTACAATATAACTATAAAAATTCACTTTAAATTAAAAATTGATATTATAACTAAAAAACTATATAACTAAAAATTCTATCACAAATTTAAAATTAGAATTATTTTAAAAATTTTATAATGTTTTATTTTACTATATTTTATTAAAAAAAAGAACACTTAGAGAATTTTTAAATTGTTAATCATGGATTAGTGTGATTTAATTTTAGTAGTAATAAATTAATCGTGACTTAATTTTAACAATTATAAACTAACGAGTTAGTAATTTTTGTAATAAGTAATTATTTATTTATTTTTTATTTAAACCGACCAATTTTATACATAAAAATCACTTGAATTCGTATTAATTTTTATATATGTATGTATATATTTTGTATTACTACTACGATGTCTAAAATTATATTTACGGTCTAAGTTTAAAATTTGATATTATAATCAAATCATATAATAACTTTTTTAAAAAAAACTAAAAAATTATTTATTTTATAATTAATAAATACAATTAATTGTATTAATTAATAAATACTCCGAGCTACAACCTCTAGTTTCGTAAATATTCGGAGAAATTGGGTTTGTCCGATAAAACGGTGAGAATTTGAGAAATTGATGAGAACACGGAAAGGACAAAACAAAAGTGTAGGCTTTATGTGGGTCCCACGGCAGGATCTTTGTTGGTTAGTAGTAAACTTTGGGCAGCGTTCCATCTGCAGAGGCATCATCATCATGAATTGTCACGTCACTGCAGACCAAAAAATCCAGCTTTCTCCGAACATTTTCTCCCTTCTCAAGATTCTTTCTAAATTCCTAAATTTATTTCACAATAAATCAAAATTTTTTGTGAATTTTTAATTATTTTTTAAAAGATGTTTATGAAAATTACATATTTAGATATTATTTTTATTGTTTTCTCTTAATTATATATAGTTTAGATTTAGATCTTCATATATACATAAATATATATAGATATAAAAGTTAGTGTAGTTTATATATTACTACATTA